TGAGGTTTAGCTCATCCACAAGTGATGGTGCTGAGGGGAAGCCATCCTCGTCCAGCCCTTCCAAACCTCCAACAAAGAGGTTGGGGTCATTAAAGAAGTCCATGGCAGAGCCCGGAGGTTAACTGGAACCTTTGGAACTCCAATGGATCCAAGCTGGTCCCAACGAGCCTCGCTCTCTACAGAGCTACAGCATGTCCATTCTATTGTGTCCCTGTAAAAAAAAACAGAGGAAAAAAATATTACAATACAACATTAATGTGGGAATATAAAGACTGTGTTTTTACTAGTAGTTTTAGTCTAGATGAAGATCAGATCACAGTTTGCAAACAAACTACAAGCAATTAAAACAATCCAGCAGAAAGCCTATTTTTATCATCCATTTCCTCATCAGAAGAAAAGCATGAATGTGCCATGCTGTGTCAAAAAAAAAGCTTTCAAAAGGCAGGTAATGGCTAGGTCAGAAGGGTCTGTAAGAAATTTGGTACTGTCAATTATCTATCAGCACTGCCTTTCATGTGTGTAGTAAAACAGCTGGTGCAAACCAACCGCCAGCCGCCAGCAGGTGCCTCTTCCTGCCACCCCCCCTCCCCTTTCTCACACACGCACACAAACACACATGCACCTCAATCCCCCACCCCCACAACCAATGAAGCTGCCTGCCCTGCTACTGCAGAATGTGTGGGAGGTGCAGACAGCTGATAAAATTTCAACAGCTAGGGACACAGGCTGAGGTCCTTTGAGTGTGTGTGTGTGTGTGTGTGCAACCACAGACCAGCGGAAGATGACAGAAGCTTACCCAGGTCAGTCATTACCGTACATGCTGACTTGCTATGCACGCAGACACACAAAAGCACAAATAAGCACAGACGTCTCTCTTAAGAGACACTTGTAGAGATACTTATGGTTTAATTTGGCCAATATTTATTTCAAATGACAGTCAGGCTGAGAAGCGTTGGAAAGTGGTATTTTCTATAGACCATTCTCTTAAATACACCGGGTGTTGGTCATATTTTTTTTTGTTAATAACTATGGCAGGCTAAACTACTGCATGTGTGATTTGCAAATAAATCACTAAAGATTACTTAGCTTGAAAGCAAGTAATGACTACATAAATAACACTGAAATGGTGGACATAGTACCAAATGCTGACTCAACATAGTGGAGGTCAAACATGGTGTGTGCTTTGTGCGGCTAAAAGTCCTTAAATCCCAATACACACCCCCAGACACAACATGAATGTATTTGTAATCTGCGAGCAAATCGAAAACACAGGATTGTCAGGATTCTCATATTTCACAAGCATAAGCAACATTTAAGCTATGTTCTTAAAAGGTAGATTTTCCTAGGTGGCCTGTCAAATTGGTCCAAATTAAAACAACAACATAAACCCTGTGCAGAGTCTGGAGCCTTTCCCAGCTTGCATTGGGTAAGAGGCAGGGTACTCTCTGGACTGGTCGCCAACAACAGTTTGCGCTCACATTCACGCCTACAGGCAATTCTTGAGTGGCCAATAAACCTGACCTGCATTTGTTTTTACTGTGAGAGGAAAATGAAGCACCTGGAGAAACCACACACAGGCCAAGGGAGAACATTCAAACTGCACAGAGAGGCCCCTGTCGGACCAGCAGGTCAGAACCAAGAACCTTCTGCTAACTATTGCGCCATTCTGTTTTCACACTGGACGTTCTGTGGCTGATTTGCAGTTTGTGAGAAGGTTCATGAAAATTTCTGTGAAATAATTCATGAGTTTTATTAGAACAATAACTGGACACTAATCATAATAAATACCTGAGCGTGTTCAAGTGTCATATGATTTAGTTGACCTTATATTAGACTTCTGTAAATGCATTTACTTTATTTTACCCTAATCATTTACACTATAACTTATTTTTTGCATGTGTTTTATTTCCATTCAGAATGTGGTAAGATAAGTCAAAACATGAAGCCTAAACCAAACTTAAATCATAAACGCAACAGAAGGTAGAAAATACTCCAGTTTACTGTAGCCTAATATCACTGCATACAGTTCTTTCTATGGCTCACTGCCATGCAAACCAGGCACGTACCATATGCACGATCACTCTCCCCTACCAACCACCATCAACAGGTCTCAATAAAAATATAGATGCATAAAAAGGCATTGACGTTTTCAGTTTGGATTGTGTTTACAGTTTCAGGTTCACTCCAGTGCTTTGTTTACTATCCTGTTTATTGGGGAATCATGGGACTCTCCTGAAATGTGACATTCCTACTTGTCATTTTATAAAGCTTTTTTGGATGCCTATATTGATAGGCAACACAGCAAGGATTTGTGGAGTACTCTGTCAACAAGCAAAACAGGAGGCACATGAAATCACTCCCCAATAAGAGACAGACAATCCTGCCTGAATAAGAATTAAGAGAGGGAAATGTGTGCAATTGCCACTTCTCACCATTTTAAGTATAATAGAAAATTATAACTTTGGCCAGTCAAACTCGAGTGATAATAAATCTCTAACTCTGGTAAAAAAGGATCTTTAAGGAAAGAGTTTTTTTCTATGTACTTGGGTTTCTAATGATACTCATTTAAGATTTGCACTAATCATTTTGGTTGACCAAACAAAAGAAAATGCTCGTGACCTTTATTTAACAAACATTTTTAAAAAATAGGCTTATGTGATGAAAACTAATTTGTTTCATTTTAAACACTTGTTTGGTAGATATCCTCTTGTTTGTGACATTCAAAGTAAGTAATTGACACAGCCATACCCACGTTGAAAGCGGGGGGGGGGGGGGGGGGGGGGGGGCAGGATTCAGTAAACTGGAGGTAGATCAGTTGGGAAAAAACAAAAACAACAACACGCGTTCATATCACCTTTCCCAATGTGCCACGAATCAATGCAGCATATTCCTGAGCATGCTAGCCGGGCCAATGCTAACTTTTACACCCCAAATCTGGCCCCGAGGCACAGACCACTACCCTAAGCCTCAGTTGCCTTCCAGCTGTTTCCTTCATAATCATGACGCTGTAAGCACCGTTAAGGCACGTGCAACTCGTGCCTAATATCAACAAGAGCTGTGTAACTGTCCCGAGGTCGCCATTGAGTCCACGGGACTGGTGCCACTTCTGCGCACCTCAAACTGCATTAAACCAACAAACTGTAGCTAAAACGTCAAACAGCAAAAGCACATTAACGTTACCTGAAATGTGTAAAGTTAGCCACGCTTTAAGAAAAAGTGTCTTGAATCTCTTAATTGATACAATGATATCATGTAACACTCGGAAACACGCTCGTCTTGCTTTCATTAAACAGACACAGGGCTCACCTCTGAAGTCAGCTGCATCCCCTTCATCTTCAACCCAGCAATGGCTCCGGCTCCTGCGAGCGCGGTGTTTGATGAGCCAGCGAGGCGGCAATGTGTTGCGCTACTTTAAGCTCAACGGAAACAATATGAATGCACGTGGGACATTTGATTTTAGATTTTAAATGTTAGCCCTGGGCTGTTGAGACCGGTCGCACGTGCTCCTAGCCAGCCCTCCACTTTGAAAGTCACAGAATTCAATTCAAGAGGTGTCGTGACGCTTCCTCACTGAGGGGGGAGGGGGAGGCCCGGAGATGGATGGAGAGGTCGACAGTGGTTGTGTCCACGATAACACAGTTGTTATGCTCGACCGACTTTCGTTTTCATTTATCATAAAGCTTCCGACCTATTCGCGCTGCGAACACTTAGCTACCGCGTCCACATACAAGGAAGGTGCCCTGCGGGTCGCTGTCAGTTCAGGACCACCATGACCAAGAACCACGGAGGGGCTACTTTGGAGCCACGCGCATTTTCATTTAACGTTACCCGGCAAACTGTGACAAAGTACAATGATACGCGCTGTTTTATGAGGGAACTAACCGAAAACTAGTGCGGACAAGTTTGGCAAGTCAGTCTTATTTCTACCGGGAAGATCCACACTCAGCAAAGCGGTGTGTCATCAGACAGCTGAGGCGAGCCTCACTGACTGACTGTCAGAAATTTGACAGATCCTTTCCTGAATGAAACTGAACCCCTCGAGTCTGAAATAGCTCTCAAAAAAATCCCCAAAATGAGTGTTATTTCTTACCTGAAACGAACCTCGAAGTGAAACTCCAGGCGTCAATGTAGAGAGTGTTATCGGCGAAGTTGTGACAGTGTTGTTAGTTGTACTCCTGCTGGCGACGAAGGCACAGCGGCTCTACTGCTGCTGACGTGACTGTGATAACACTTCATTTGCATATTAGTGACCTCCTCTCTGATTGGACCGCCGACAATTTGCCACATTTTTACTTTTCCACAAAAACATAAAAACCGGTTCCCCCAGTGCGAGTACTTTTGTTACGCTGCCGAGCTCAACCGACAGGGAGCGGGTCATTAAATCTTGGATTCATTTGTAAAGTCTGTATTGTTGACAGAGTGCATAAGATGGCCGCGTTCAAGCCAGAGCCAATCCGGAGAGGTTTTACTTCCGCACATGCACCGGAGCCTTTGCTCAGCGCAAACATGACAGGAGTGGGAGAGCTGCGCTCCACTGTGGGCTCATGTCGACCTCTGCTGGCTGATGAGCGACATCCTGCTCTACATGAACTGATCTCCTATGGCACACCAGATTTTGCTATTGACCCAAGGTATTCTACATGGACTCCCCAATAGATCAATTCAGTAGTCCTATAATAAAAATCAGAATATTGTCTGTGTACTATCCTTCTACAGTGCATTACATAATGTGTAGAGTTGTCTTCAGTATATCAAGTAGGCGTGTGTGACAGTAATGTAGTGACAATACACATTTGTAATTATTATTTTATTCCCTTGCCCCCCTTCAATCGTCACTACAGGTCTGTATCAATTGTAGATTTGCAGCACAACTGAGCAATCATTGGAGAAAAAAGAGAGAGAGAGAGAGAGAGAGAGAGTGCATCTCTGCAGCAGGTGTTTCAAATTATTCAGTTTATGGCAATCCCCAAAGCTTGAAAAATAAAAAAAGATTCCAGTTCTTGGTTTTTGATAATTTTATTGATTTGAAAAGCATTTAAAACTCATGTCATCTACGCAATGTCGTCTTTCACAAACTGGAGCAGGAATGGGTTCATACAGAACGCATTATAACTCACACATTTGCAGATGCCAAAAGCCCAAATGGCAGTTTGTTACACCCTTGCCTTTCACAGCAGTAGATCAAACAGGTTTCAGCACCATATCTGCTTTCTGATAGTCATTTCCCACAGATTTAAACAAATTCCATAATTTTCCACATCCTTAGTTAAATTAAATTTGCATATTCAAAGTGGCAATACTACTATCTATTAAGCCAGAGCCCTCTACAGATGAAGACATCACATATTAAGTGTCTGGCACAACAGAAAAGGTATATTCTTGTAGTTGGCCAAAACAATTTTTGCTGTTTCTAAACAACCAACCATATCAAAATAAATTTTTTATTTTAAATCAGACCTATGAAGGAAAGATCTTGTAAAGCAAAGATCTGTAAGGGGGCTTAAGTAACATTTGTAAAGAAAGCTAAGAAAACCAAAATGTTCACTTAGAAAATCCAAGTGCCGATTCAGACACGTCTCTGTAAGTCAAAACTTAGCACAGCATCCATTATTTACACATCAAACCTTTAATAACCGAAAAGGTACATGAAACATTCAAAATTATTTTAAAATCAGAAAATAAAATACAGGAGCTTAGCATCTTATTTAAAACCATACTTCCCCGCTCTGCATATATCTATATTTAGAACTATGTAAGACAATGGACACGGTGGAAAAAGAAAATCACTGTCCAATAAGAAACATATAAAACATGTCAATTGAATTTTGTAATGGGAGGAGTGGTGATTAATGATATCTTTCATTCACATAGCTGTGACTGACAACATTCCAAGTCCGACAAATAAACAGTCCTGAGCCAATTTCAACAAGTGGTATGGATCTCTAAATAGATCTATTGTCCACTACCCTTACTGTATGACTGCAAATTGCTGTGCTCAGACTTTTCAGCTCCTTTTGGGACAGTATTGTTACATTACCTAGCCCAACATGTGCATGGATCCGAAAATCTAAATGAGAAAGCACTTTGATTGCATCACAGCCTAAATGATGTTGCCTCGACATCCACTTGTCATCGTCGATTTACATATGACATACATACAAACTTTGTTTCCTTATTCTAAAGCTGTCTGAGGAGTTGCCTACAAAGCTTTTAAAGCTGAGCAATAATGTGGATATTTAATATAAAGTTCTCCCAACTGTTTCAGTGATCCAGTTCACATAAACAGCTGAGGCAAGCCAGTGGCGTGGCATCTAATGCATGTGCCTCCCTCTAGTGGCTGCTGCAGGGACAGTGCATGTTCAGCTCTGGGGAAGACTGTCATCCTTGCTGAAGGGCTGTGTTGAACCAGGCTTCACCCAAGACAGTCCCGACACCTGTGTTCCCTTGTGGTGATCTTCAGGCCGTCTCTACAGCAACAAAGGCAAATTAGAAGTAACGTAACAGGCACAACTCAACCAATCAAAGTGCTCATAGTTTAAACTGCAGCTCAACAAAACTTCCTTTGGGTTGTAACTCTTAGAACTGCAGTACACTGCTATATACTGCTCATATACAATCCAAATACTCAGATGGTAAACTTCTAAAACAAACAAAAAACACTTTACTTTGAATGTGAACATCCGCTCTTTTGCTTCCTCATGAACAGCTGGGTTCCATGGGGAAAAACTATCAAAAGGACAAGAGTGGCAATGTGAGTGCAAGAGATAACTCCCCCACCCCTTTAGAGTTTTTCCACACACACCTATAGGGTGTGTTTTCTTGTAGTGTGGTGAGCCTTATGGAATGTTAAAAATGGGGATAGTTCACCAACCTTATTGCGTAGGGATCATCTATCTTGGGCTGGTCAAAAAGATGACTGTTGCATAGTTTTACACTATCTACCACTTTGCTTTTGAACAACTGCACATCCTTTTCATATCTGTAATGAAAAAAAACAGTCATGCTTTATGACAACAGTGAGACATGGGTTATGACTAAAGCCTAAAACAAATGAATGTTTCCCCTGTATGCACCTAGCCACGGCTGAATTATGAACAACGCTGCTGAATTTACTTTTTTTTTTTTTTTAAACGAGGGGAGAGCAGGACACCGCTCTTATCTAGAAACTAACATATTACTTTGTAGTTTGGATACTTTACATCAGGCCTATTCACATACCTGTGATTAAAGCATATACCAGAAACTTTGCGCTTAACTGATAATGTCAGCAAAATGACCATAACAAGTACCTGGCAGATGTCAATGAAGCAAGCAGTGCTAATCACAGATTGAGGATTATCATTTGCCGAACACAGTTCTGCAACTTCACGTGAGCATCGTGCAGTTACGTTAAAGCAAACGCAACCATGTGATAGGAATACAAAAGAAAATGCATTTGTGAAATAAAGATTTAGAAACGTCTTCCATCTTGATACAAATATAGTAGGTATTCCACATTAGGAGTACAACCAATAATTGACAGTCATCACAAATCAATAAGTTGCCAACGAATTTAGTTAGCGATTAGTTGTTGACGTCATCGGGCAGTAGAGACACTGCTAACTGGAGTGACTGAGTGTGGGAGCAATTCACTAACTCGGGCCAAAAAGGTTGGGAACTGCAACATTTGTAAAGCTGACCTTGCCTGACATGGGAGTCACGTTGGCTCTATGGATGATGAAGACTTGTCTCGGTAAGCTAGCTAATGTTAAAAACCATGTTACTTCACATTCTGAGCAGTAACATTTTCTCTTGATTATTGTCAATGAACGTTCCTGTTCACTTTCCATATGTGCCCTAACTTCACAACTTAAACATTGCATTGTTCACAGCTGAAGAATGTCTTGGTGCCAAGCGCACAAGTTTAGAGAACACTGGAGTATTTGATTCTACAACTCCTTGAACACCCATCGATGCTGTCTGAGTGAACATTCTGTTGAATTAGCAGGAAAGTTCATTAAAAAGATGCATTTTTGAATCAAGTATTCATCTTTGTCTTTATCGTTAGATAGCACATGCCTAAAACAACTAAACAAAAGCTAAACAAGACCCATTGAGTAATTGTGTGATTTATAATCAGAATAGCGGTTTCAATAATTGATAATCTATCAAGATAGTCCTTAATTTTGGAACCTTGCCTGCAATATGCTTAGTCTTTAGCAATATCACACAGCAGTAGAGCAAACTCGGGTCTCTCTAACTTCATCTTTTACTTTGGGATTAGATAAAAACAACTGAAAGGAGGATCAGATACTCACAGCACAGCAGCCTCTGGGTTGAGTGGTTCCGTTGTATTGATCTTGTAGAAAATTGTACGTGCGTACATCAGGACTTGCCAGATGTGGTTGTGATTCCGTCTACAAGACAACAACATACGGAGTTGACATCATTAATCCTTTTTGCCAGGAATAGACAGGAAGAAGTAAACTGGCGAAAAGCACTGACCATGCTGCACCGGTTCAAACATAAAATTTTCACTTAAATATTCATGTTTGAAAAGTAATAGAGCATACCTCCATTTAGTGAAAGCTCTTCTCACATCAAGCTCTCCTGACACAGGGTCAACAAGAGGATGGAAGACTGGGATGTCAAATATTAATTTCTGAAAGGAAGCATATGGACGAGATGACTGAGGGTTTGCTTAAACTTTTTGCATCAGTGTTCAAGAATCCTACTTTTCTTTCACTCACTATAGTCACCTTATCTTGGAAAAACATGTAGTTAATGACTGAACACATTTCCAGATGACAGTTTATGTTTCAAAAGATGCACATTTTGCTAAACCTGGAACAGACAGAATTACAAACCCTGATGAGCAGAAATACTATGATGATTGGATGCACACAAAACCTTTTTCCTGCTAGAAAATACACTCCAATCTTTTTTTTGTACAGTAAAAAAAAAAAACAACAACAACAAAAAAAATTTCAATTAAAAAGTACAGTACACTTACTGGACACTCCCCATCTGGATAATTATCTGGAATATACACTGTGAATTTGAAGACTCCATCCTGGTACAAGCCATGTCTGATGAATATGACCCCAAACCACACTAAACAGTGGGAGACATGGTATTTCAAAATCTTTACTTCCATCAACACAGGTATGAATTATGCTGGACCAAGCAGTGTAAATGAATAGAAAGTTTACGACAAAAATTTTGTACAGAATATATTGACACATGTATAAAGATCACAGAAGATTAAGAATATTATAAACAAGTTTTTTTAAATGTAGTGCCCAGATGTTGACCATCCAAGAATGAATCCACGAGTTGTCACATTTTTTTTAGTGTATACATTAAACAGACATTAACTCTAAAAAAGGGTCCTTACTTAGTGCCGATTTGTAGGACGGCTGGACATAAATTCCAGGGAGCTTCTGTTTAATCACTAGTGTGCTGCAAGAAAAACATGCATGAAACTTATTTTCATCTTACGTGCTAAATTAAAATGGATACTTTGACATCAAGTTAATACAGACACCATTTTAAAAGCAAGTGCTACCAACATATTTTAAAAAGGAAAATTATTAACGTAGAGTACTTGGGCATATGCAAACCAATTGAACTTTAAATTCTGATACTGGACCACTACTTACAACTCAGCCAGCAGAGAGTACTCCAGGTAAAAGGGGCCATAGGAGGCGTGTGTGCCATTGGTCAACTGGGGTGGGGTGCCCAATGACGCAGGCTTGGTAATGGGGGTTGCATTCTTAGGAATGGGTGGAAGCTGCTTTTTGCCAAAGGACAGCCGAGCCGGACTGGCTCTCTGCTCCCCGTGCCCACTCTGTTCCTCGTTGTCAGATCTCTGCTGTTTTGTGTAAGGAATATAACAGGAATGTCAACACATCAGCTGAAAAAGAACCAAAACAAAAAAACACGTTCTTGCCATGTAAAAAAAGCAGACACAAGGAAAAGTCTTGAGTGCCAGATTAGAGAAGGCTACCGTTTGAGCCATTATGCACACTCAAGAGTAGACCAATGTCTCAGGATAGTGACCATGTGCTGTGACAAACCTCTCAGGTTACACTGCCCATCTGGTTTTCATCTGATCAGGAATCAGTGTCTAGACTAGGGCATGCACTTTCCAGTACAGCTATCATTATCTTACTGATGCTGTTCAGAATGATAATAGTAGTTCCAGTACAGTGTCATTGTACACATTGAGCGCACAGCACAATGCCACAATGAATACTGCGGAAAACTAATGCAAGTATGCCAGGAATGTTTGCAGTGAATAGTGCGCAAATACAACAGATCTAGCCTGCACTTTCATTGAAGTCAGACTTGACAACAGAATGTTTCTAAACTGTTCCTCTGACTAAGCAGGAAAAAAAAAAAATGAACCAACACCCAATCTCAAGGTACAGTGTTTGCTTCCACCCTACCTCACCAGGGTTGTTACACCAGCATACGAAAATTGCCCTTTGGTGGATATTCTGCCTAGCACTAGCTAACTGTACTAAATCACTGGCACAGATGGTAGATTCTAAATCATCAGAATGAGCAGTTTTCCTAACCCGTGCATTTACATTTGATTTGAAGAAAGTTGCTGATCTCAAAAGTCTTTTCTAAAAATGAGTAGGATACCACACCCTCAAAATGAATACAAGAGGTGCAAGATTGAAGACCTCTAAGAAACAAAGGCTGGAAGTGCTCAAATCAAAATTGTTAAGAGTACAAAGTATTAAAATAACCGTTGTCTAAAACTTGAAACAAAGTTGCGATTGCTGAGTGCACATAACCTTCATATTTACAAAGTTTTGGTGACACTGATTTAGTACTCTGACTAATTGGGAGACAAAACATAAGCCAATTAGGTTGATCTCCTCTGGGTATTCAACAAACTTTACATATGAGGCCGTAAGACCTTCGAGGAACCCTTCAAAGTCCACCAATAAAGTCAGCGCACATAAGATTAATATATAGTCAACATAAAATAACTCGGATTGAATAAGGTAGTATGGTGGAAGTATGGTATGTAAAACTCTGCTTTTACTAAAATGAAATTTGTAGGCTGATATATGTATGCTATGCACCATTATCTATCTGTACAGACTTTGAAGAGTCTGTGAAGAGTGTTTAGTTCTGTAAAGCACATGACTGACCATGTCTAACAGATTTCAGAGGGGCTTCCACAGACGTGCATGTATTTGCACACTTTCATCCAATGCAAGCAGTCAGTCATTGTAGAATCACTTTACTATAAAGTTTGGTGTAATTTGCTTTTTTAAACATATTGTAGTTCAATGTGTGTACTTGTATTGTATATTGTGCTCTTAACACTTTTGCAAATATTTATTGATATTGTGTATGTATATGGTACCGTATATTATGTATAATTAAGGCAGGGAAAGCCAGAGCTCAAGCATTTCATCGTTATACACATGATAATAAAGTTGAACCTTAATGTTTAACTTTACCTTACGACTTGTATTGGCAGACATGCTCCAGAAGGGGTTTAGGTTCATTACTCATTCAGAGGCTCACAATGGTGTCCCTCTTTTTATGTAAGTCCAAGAGCAGTCCGGGCCATCCGCTGCTGTGATGAAAAGACATATGAAACAAGTGATTGTTGCTGCAGTTAAGGTCAAAAACACGCGCACACACACCCCTTGTGAACACAACCAAACACTTAATGCTGATCAAATGCCATCTAGCGATCACTATAATATTAACTGTTAGCTCTATATCGTTTCACCTTGACCTTAACATTAAAATATCGATGCCATATCTGGCAGACTACAAAACGAGAAACGTTAACAGGTATTACTTCGTAAAGATCTACAAAGAGGTGTTGTTTGGGATAGCGTTAGCTTAGCTTCGTGCTAACCTGGCTTTTTCAGGAGTTAACGTTATGCTAGTTGTTGTGTTGTTGTTGACGTTCAAAAATCGGTTGTGTAACTAATACAGGCTGTCGTAGGATGGTAACAATAGAGACCAGTGTTTTATTATTAATATAACTGTGTTTCTGACAGGGTATCGTATTATCGTGTCATTTGTTAACGTTAACTACAACGTTACAGAGCTAAAGTTACGTTAGCAACTGTCCAACTTTACGTTAAGTACTTAAACCTAACGTTAACGTAATTTTAGCTGACAGCTGGAAATCTGACTAAATACTCTTTCGGAGTGTAAGACTAGTCAATGCCCACATACTGACGTTGTCTCACCTGCTTTCCTTGAGTCACTTTACCTAAGCTAAAGCATTAACGTTAGCTTCCAAGGCTACCTCTGTCGCTGCTAATGAACTCCTTTCATTTTAGCCAATGTACGTAAGAAAGCTTAGTGATATAACTCACCGTATTTGCTAGAGAGCTGTAAAAGTCCCTTTAACAGCGACGTTAACGCGTGTCCCTGTGTAGTTTTCGCAGAAACTGCTCAGCTGCTCTCCATTCCTTTGGGTGTCATCCCAGCTAACTGGCTAACATTGGCTAGCTAAATAATTTGACAGACAGAAACCGGAGTTCAATCTAACTTGGGGGGCGTTTCGGTGTATGAGTACCGATTCTCATTGGTCTAAAGGATAAACAATCTCGCATTTCATTTGCTGGCGCATCCGTCACGTGAAAGGGAAGACGTGCTTTGCTAGGTTTGCCGAAACTGTAGTTGCTTTGTTTTGTTTTACAACAAAAAAAGATCAAAAGAATAAAGTTATTAACAGGGTCATGGGAAATTCTTGGCTAATTCTACAAAAAACAGGTCTTTTTCACAGTAGACATTTTGAAGTGTCAAAAGAGGAAAAGCACAAGTGGAACTAATAACATTAACGATGGCTCAGTTCTATCAGTAAGAAAGACATGATAGCGAGCAGAAAAAAGAGGGACATTGGAACTAGCTAATCTGAATGGAATGTATATAATTGATTACACTTGCTATTTTCCTACTATGAAATATCAATACGTCTGCTGTGAAAAGGTCAGCCACGTCTGTTTCACCATGTTTTAATTAATTAGATTTTTAAAAGTGTTTAAAGTTTTTTTTTATTGATTTTAAAAAGCCCTACCTAACTGGTTCTTTTTAGCTTCATTACACTGGCTTCCAATATGTTTTAGAATTGACTTTAAAATTCTATTGATCACTTTTAAACTCGACTCTACTCGGCCCTGCTCCGTTTTCCATTGTAGGTAGTACCCAGAGATAGTACGTAGCTTGTCGTCATAGCAACGCCACACACAACTGCCGCAACTTAATGTTCAATGCGACACACCAGTGATCCACACATCTTTCTCTTTTTAAATTAAAATGTTTCAACATTACTCAGAATGTAAAGACATATAAGCGGTATGAAAACTTTCCAGCTGTGTTTTCCTCTGCCGTTGTTGCTGCAGCGGTCTGTGTGACGGCGGGAGAAGAGGGCTCTGTGAGCGGGCGGCTGGCCTGCCTCACACGCTCCTCCTGTGGGTTGGCACAGGCATCCCCCGCAGCCACTTGCGGAGCTCCTCAACTCCGAAAATATTCAAGCACATTTTTGTTCCGCCATCACTTCTCGTAAAACTGTCAATATTCGAAATCTACACAGCTGATTTCTCACCTCAAAACTTCTCAGAAGTGGATTTAGTGATGAAATTACATATGAAAACTAAAATATAAAACTTATGTTGCTGGCCTGTCTGGCGCACACAATCATGATGCAGTGAATAGTGTATATTCTCTCTGTCCAATCAGCAGTCTGTCGTGTTTTCACATTTACATCCAATCGAGCTGAGGGACATTTTAGTATCCCTCAGCTCGATTGGAACCTCGATGGAGGTGAGGTGATACAAAAAAAAGTACCTGGAAACTGGTACAGGTACAACATTTCTACAATGGAAAACCAAACAAAGGCGAGTCGTCCAAAAGGCCTGACGTGGGGCGTGCCTGACCCCGCTAGCCGCTTGACAGCTTTATGACGCGTTTTCACTGTGACGTCACAAGTAAGTGAAGGGCTGGACAACAAACAAGATGGGAACTCCCTTTGGGCTGGACTTTGGGCTTTTTCACTTTGCAAACCTGTTACATGCACAAAAAAGATATATCGACCTATCGGCCAAACTATGGAGGGATTATTGGGTCCGAACTAAAACTAAAAGTTGAAAACTAAAAGTCGAAATTGGAAACTAAAAGTCAAAATCAAAAACCAAAAGTCGAAGTCGAAAATGAATTTGGTTTTAGGATTGGGCATTTTGCCATTTAGGATTGGGGATTTGGTATTTAGGATTGGGGTTTTGTATATTTTGTGGTTTTGTGGTTTTGGGGATTTGGGGATTTGAGGATTGAGGAGACCCAAAGGCTGCAGGGAGGGTTTGGAAAGGCTGAGGCGCAGAGGCACTTTATGGACTGCAGGGGGAGCTCTGACTGCCAGAACACTGCCATGAAAGCAAGCAGAGGAAGTGAGCAGGGCTGGAGGGAAGACTATCATTTATAATATCATAACCAAAAGTGTACAGCATTTCTGTCCATGTGGTCTCACACACAAAGTCAACAGTGAAAGGAATGCTATCCATCTGACAAGAAAGAAGTGGACAGTACAGCAGGTAAGATATGATAATATTAGCAAGTTAGCAATATTAGGCTAACTGTTGCTGACATGCATGAGTTACGTTACTGTCGGTACATGCAGGTTTTAAATGAGGCTATTAACCCAGCTGTGGGCTGTGTGTATAAACTGTAAAGATAAGTTGTAGAAGCTGTGTTTCTGGGTAACAGCACCATGCTGGGCAGGTGACAGGTGTGTGTTTACAGTGTTTGTGTGCTCTGAAAAACATAACAGCGCAGCTATAAAGTCTCAGCCGGCAGATCTAGTATGGTATTATTACTACACACACATGGATGTAACGTTGAGGCCCGATAGACATCTGCTAATTAGAAACAGAGGACACTACCTGCATCACTGCAATGTCATTTGACCAGGGATTGAATGGTGATTAATGCGATTGTCATCAGTGTTTTCCTATAGTGTCTCCTTTTATTCTTTCAATTCACTGTGTTTTGAGTGTTCCCGTCTATCCCTGTGTTTGTTACTGCTCCATACTCAGTCTCCTGGCTCCCACTCAGCTGCCTATTAGGGCCTAAAGTCTATATTAGAGGTGTTTGAGGTTAACGCAAGCGCCACTGTTTTTCCCCACTGACTTGTCCTCCCCCCTGCAGACAAAGATGTGTCACAGCTTTGGATCAACCATCTGCAGCAGAGTCCCGGTCCACTGGGTCACACCACAAGTTGGAAATTACAGCTACAGCTGATTCAGTAACTTCTGGATCCACTCGGGACTTTTCTCTCACTTAGACATAATTTACTCTTCATTGAAGGCTTGTATTTTATCTTGCAGAGTTTCTATGTGATCTATAATTACCTTGTTTAATTTTGCTCATTATATTATGCATATAAATAGCACAGAGGTGCAGTCTGACGGGAGAAGCTGCTTGTCTTTTATTTTCACTATATATAATTGCTAGAGTTGCTCCGATTAGGATTTTTTGGGCCGATTGCTGAAAGCAGTATCGGCCGATACCGATCACCGATCACTGGGTCTATTTGGAGCCTTTTATTTACCATGTAGCATTATACAGTATACTGTATATTTATTTAATTGGTCAATGTATTAAGTGTTAAAGTTAACAGATGATAAAGTATCATGAAATGATAACTGTTTATTGTATTGCCGGGAAACATGGGCAACAAATTCCGCTCAATCTGTGTTAGAGACTGAAACCATAGCACCCTTTGCCTGGTTACTGTGAACATCTTTTAGCTTAACAAATATAGCTTTACTAAATAAACTACAAAAACAGAACAAACAGCATCTTTATAAATTTACTACAACCATAAAAACTGCAACAAAAAAGGCTGTAGCCAAAATATTTAGGAGAAAAAGGGGCACAGGCATCATGAGTCGATGATAAACTCTGAAGTAGCTGCTTTTTGTTCTGGAAAGCTGGGGCAGGTTCTGTTGGCTTTAGGGGGGAGAGAGGAGTGGAGAGAGGGAGAAGGGCTACAGAGAGGAGTCAAAACTGCCTTCAGTGAGATTTGAAAATAAGGAAAATTTTAATAAATAAAAATAGGCCACAATGTAAATTCCATATTATACAGTCAATTGTTAATATTACATAGGCTACGATATTCATTATAATTTCATATGGTTTGCCATTAGTAGGCTATAGGCCTTATATCATTTGTGGATTTGTTTTCATTTTTAATCCTTGTGCAAGAAGCACAGTCTACATATTTTCCATGCTGCCACCGACTTTACCAGAGGGAGAGTAGCAAACACTTTAAATACGGGCAGAAGGTTTTTATTTGATTTCATAAAGGTTAAAAATATGGGAGATTTACAGGGAAACATTTAACGAGTGGATACCGGATGAGAACGGAAAAATACAGGAGAATCTCGGGGGAAAACGAAGGTTACGATATGGTAACCCTAGTTCTATTAGCACAGACGGAGCCCTCTACTGGACTCTATGGGTACTACCTCTTCTCCTATCACACGTACGTACTTGCCCACTGAAATTTTGCGTACTGTAAGTAGCCGACCAATTGGACGTCGCTACTGTACGTGCGCACCGGATAAATAGCGGCGTCCTCACTGCTCAGCATCAAACCACCCCTTCAGCTGCCTCCATCCTAAGCGATGGGGCAGTGGGCCACCCCTCAGAAAGGTCACTAGACTGCTCTTGGCATGACCAAGAGGGATCCAGATCCAAACATCTGAACTGTCCTGACCCCTTATAGGGACATCCGGCACAGTCAGCGTAAAAATGTTTTCCCCGACAACCGGTAGTCTATGGTAGACACCAGTCTCCTTCTTCACAGATCCTGAGTCACACCTGTAAGCACAGATCCTGAAAAGGAGCCCAACACATCCAAGAGGTAAAAACGAACAAAGGGACATGGTGAAGACCACGATGCCGTTGTACAAATCTCCTCGACGCTCACCCCGCTGAATAGGGCCGACACAGCCACACCCCGTGTGGAGTGAGCCCAGACCACCGAGGGTGGGTCTTTCCCTGCCTGCACGTAGGCCTGTGAGATACAGTCACAAAGCCATTCGGCTAGGCGCTACCGATCGCACCGTCACCAAAGCAAACGAGCATTTGATCAGTGCAACGAATGGGGGCCATGCGCTTCATATAATGTGTTAGGGCGCGCACAGGACACAACAGATGCAGCCTCGCCTCCCTAGGCCCAGGGTGGTGCAGAGGGTGGAAGGCATCCAAATGTATGGTCCTCGACCTGAACAAGCTTCTTATGTTCTTAGGAACAAAGGAGGGGTTCGGTCTTAACACTGCTGCACTGTGGTCACAATGAAGCAGCACGCAGCTGGGATAAACCGACAGGGCGCACAGCTCACTCACCCTCTTGGCAGAGGTGAGAGCCAGTAACAAGGCTATCTTGAGAGATAGCATCTTCAAGGAGGACTGTTCCAGGGGCTCGTAGGGGTTTGACCTCAGAGCCTCTAGTACCAGTGGCAGGTCCCACT